GGCGCCGGGACGGACCAATCTCCGGAGACGAGGCTGCGAGAGCCGGGACAGCTAGCGGGGAGCGCAGGGCGCCGGTGCGGGTCTGAAGCTGGGACCCTGCGGACATTGTTCACGCTTCCGGAGATCCGGCAGATCTGGTCCCTGCCGAAGACTTAATTGCCACGTTAGACACCCTCACTCTTTGCCCCACCTCCTGTTTGTACTGTAAACAATGTTACAGATACTGTCCGGTTGTTGAAGATAAACCGTATCTCCCTTGACACCTTCGCGTCTTTTCAGGTTATTGGCTATTACTCAAAGCCGGCCTCTTTGGCGTTTTAAAGAAAATCGCACACTGCAGGGCCAAGGCCGCGGAGACCTTGAGCTCCTCGTCAGGCCTGCCGGAGCCCCAGGCTGCAGGTCCCTGGAGTCGGGACGCTGGCCGACTTTCCATAGCTGCTTGTTAAGGAAATTTTGGTGACACTATGTTTTTGTATATCCATCTGGTATTTTTCTAGGCACCTCAATGCCTAGGAAAAGGCCTGGCAGAGAACTAGGAAGATCTTCATGGACAAATGGATGGCAAAGTCCCTTTCCTCCAGTTGTTTCATTTCTAGATCTCGTTAAAAAATAATAATTTTAAAATATGGGTGACAGGAGAAAATAAGTTGAAAAGGCCATTTGTGCTCTATTCTGCCCTGAAAACCCATCGTGGTAGGATTTAGGCTTGTGTAATGTATAGATTACCCAACATTTTCACACGTGCACTGGAGGGTTAAAAATGACAAAACCAGCGCGCCCAGACGGGATAAGTGACTCATTCGGGGCCATATGGACTATTAGTGGAGAGATTAATTCACACTAGACAAGAACATAGACCTTAGGAGGTGCCTAACCTTTACTCCAGTGTTATAATGAACCAGAAACATTGAAGGCAGGGCTCTTCTATGAAGGGTGTCTAGTTTAGCTCTAATTCAGAGATAAATCCTGGGAGGGATCTGACCCAGCCTGTCCTGCATTTCTGACACTGGACTCCCTCTCCCACTTGAACTGACCCTTTTACACGCACACACACAAATCCCTGTTTCCCTGGCTTGTTGTTATCCCTCCAGTGTCCTGAACTCATCTTCCTGTATCCATTTTTTAGTTCTTATCCTCCAAATTGTTTCATGTACACCCTGCCCTATAACCTATCATGGTGCTCTTCTACATTTTTGGTGACCCACCCTTGAAGAGTTTTCACCATTCATCCCAAAACTTTTGCCCAAAACATTGTCTATTACCTCATATTTCTTTTTGGAGGCTACTCATTTTTCCATCATCAGCAGGATTCCCATGGCCGGGTCAAACCCAAAGTGCTACTTTTCCCCAGAATCTGCATTCTCTTCTTTCCCTTGAATTTTTATTGCTGTTGTCACCTATTCCCAAGCCCTTAAACTGTATTCCTCTTCAGATTTGCATCTTGCCTGCAACTCCCAGAATTTTACTTGCTGTGTTGTCTGTCCTGTCCCTTCTCTCTGCTCACAGCCAGTTATTCCTTCTTTTCATTCTGCAAGAGCAAAAGCCTCTGGTGTGGTGTAATTGTATAGCCTTTCCTCCTCCAAATCCTCCTCCACTCAGCTGCTGTGTTTCCTGAAGTACATTTCTGATGCTGTCACTCTCCTGCTCAAGTCCTTTTAAAGGTTCCCTGCAGCCTACTGGAAAAGGTCCAAACGCACATCTGGTCTTGACCAAACGCAACTTTGCAGTCTCCCACTAAAATCCAAAAGAACATTTCACAGTTTCCCCAACAGGAATTTCATTTTGTCTCAACAGGATTTGTCCACTCAACACTTTGCCCAAAACATTCCTGCAGTGTGAATTCTCTTCTCCCTCTTCCTCCTCCTCCCCCCACCCTTGAAACTTATTAAATCCCTACCCTTTCAAAGATTTGTACAAATGCCACTTTCTCTGTAAAAGCCCCCCTGCTGTGTACTCTCTTCTGGATCCCTCTAACACTTTGGATTTTTCATGTGACATTTCTACCATTCTGCTTACTGTCACAGTTAGTTTTACTCTTGCCTGAGCCATTGTCTTCTTTCTGCCCTAGCTAAAAGTTCTCTGAGGCATGGGAGTATTCCTCCTTCAGTCTCTGTTGTCTGAGTGCCCAGCCCTGCACTGCAGGCTTCTGTGTCCCCAGAAATTAGCTACAGTCTTAAGCCAAGTGATGCTATGTCATCATTGGCTGATGCTTGTGACATCTCTCATTTTTGAGGATTTATAGTGTTTTCTTGACTGTTCATGTAGGTCATTACTAAATTATAATTGTTCTTTCCAGCAGGCCTCTACCCCAGGGACAAAATTAGGGGTAG